CAAAAGAAAATGAGATTTTTTAAATTTATACAGTCGCTGACACTTAATTCCGCGCTGCTCCATTTATTTTATAATGTATTATCGTGAATATGCATATTTTACAATGAAATTTAATGGATTAATTTCTAAAATTTCCCCTCCGAGAAACGCTATTTAGTACATTAAGAAAAAAAGAGATTCTAATTGCTCGGATAATGCCGCGTTTTTTTTCTGACTCGAATATGAAAATGGTAATTGCTGTGATATTCAATCCGCCATTCAGCAGACATAATCTTGTCAAACATTGATACAACCGTGCGCGTGACGTGTCTTATATAGAGACCAGACAATTTAACGAGACTTTCAGGCAAAAAGCTCACTCTCGTTGAATCGTAATGTCGGATAATGTGGCGAGAATGAATCACACCGACTCGACGAGCGCGAAGGAAATATTTACTTCCGCGAGAAACGCGCACGCTTCAAACTTTAGTCAGACCAAAATGTTGGAGCAAAAAATTGTCGGACGAGCCAAAATTTTATTTGATCATCCGACATCATCATCCCTATCAGCGTTGATAAAGGCGACGTTCAGCGTTATTTCAACGAGATTAAAAACATTCACTTGTTAACCGGACGAAGGTGAGTTAATCTAAAAAATTTAAGGGGATGAGTTATTATATACGCGAGTAAGTTCAACGAACACGAAACTCCATTTATTTTAGAGACTCCATTTACTCGATTCAAATTCTAGTCGGTGGGTCAGCTCGACTTTGCATAACAACGCTTCGATGCTTTTCAATCTTGGAACAAGCGCATACATGACAATACAAATCACAGTATGTTTTCATCGAAACCGGAGAGATTTTCAAAAAAACGAAATAAAAGAAATTATCATTACAGATGAGAATATAATAAAAACGTCTAATTCTAGAATCACAAAGCGAACAGACGAACGACTTAATGTCAAAGAGTTATGTATGTGCGAATTTAATTAAAAATTATCACGCAGAGAGTATTAAAGACAAAAACATTTTACTTCGCAAGCACTTTGTCGTTAACGAATACCTATTACCTTCTGTGTTTGAGAGAAAGAGAGAGAGAGAGAGAGAGAGAGAGAGAGAGAGAGAGAGAGAGAGAGGAGGAGGAGAGAACCTTTTTAAAAATGTAGAATATCTTCAATTGTGTTATCATTGAGAAGAAGAGAGGGAGAGAGATGGAGGGAGAGAAGCTTTTTAATAACACAGTAATCATTGTGATTCCGGTTCGAAATAAAACACATTGTGACTCTAGAATTAAAATAACAAATATTTGTATTCTTTTTAATTGAGAGTAATTGTAAAATATTTCCCTCGTCATTGTCTCCATCACGCATTTATCATCGTGGTCTCACTATTTTCTTTATACTGTCTTAATTTCTTAATTATATATTTTGTCACTTTTTATTGAAATCGGAAGAAAACTCCGTAGTCAATATTATAAATGGACGAAATGCAGCCTGGATCTGCCATTTGCACACGTTTTTTTCGATTTCGGTTTACTTTTAAAGCTATCGGCTAAGTATACTTAAATTGAAAGGCTACAGTACATTCTTCCATTCTCATCCGATGGAATCCAAACCGAACTTTTCGCTGCGCGATGTTTCTAGCCTCTGTCGGACATTGCGCAGAAATCGACCTAATCGATACCTCGTGCGGCGGTAGGAAGAGTCCCACCGTTCTCTACCGGAGACACGTTCGAAGTGTCCTCGAATATTCCTTTAAAGCGACGGTTTACTCAGAAAGGAGGACGATCAGAAGGGAAACAGCTTGAGAGCCGGAACGTTTTCGAGATTTAACGCGAAATACGAAGGAATGAGAGATGTCGGGATGTCTGTCAATTTTGAAAAATTGCGCGTCGCGTATATAAGTGGCCGCCATTAGAGATAGCTCCATCCGTGACGACGACGAACGTATAAGTTATATCTTTTTGATCGTATATACGTGAGGCAATGCCGAGTATCTGGCAACTACCGGTCCAGTTTATGTACTAAATGTATAAAAAAAATTTCGTTACTAATAACCCAATCACGTATTTTGCTCCATCACAAGATTATTTAACTATTCGATTAATTAATATAAACAAGAAAAGAAAAATCATAGGTAAAACACAGAAATCCAATCCATAGAACACAAAAATCTGCAGAAATATTGCTACAACGTTTGCAATGTTACCGCAATATTGCTGGAACATTGCAATGTTGCTGTAAATTCTGTGTTAAACTTGGAGTAATATCATGAGGACATCATCATTTGTTATTTTATTTATCACTTATAAATTCGCTCATAACTAATAAATAAAGTCATAATAATGTTCTATGATATATTACTGTAACTCTTGTTTTATCTGTATACAAAAAAAAGAAAAATGCTAAAGTACTTAAAAATTTAGCTGGATACGGAGAACAATTTGTTGGACTATTAAAATGCTATGAGATATTCAAGTACAAAATAATTATGTACGATATTTGGGTTGGTTGCTAGAAACTTAAAACTTTTTATAACATTGTTTATTTGCTTATCATCCTTGAGTTTCCTACAAAATTATTTTGATAGTCCAATAAAATTGTATGTGTATATGTGTGTGTGTGTGTGTATGTTTCTCATTTTTATCTATCTAAATTTTTAGCAAAATCGTTCTTTCTAGATAAGTATAATAAATTGTCGATTTTTATTCGCAAAAAATATCACATCATATAAAAAATTAGTATAATATATAGCGCAGAAGTTTGCAGCAGCATTGCAATATTACTGGAACATAGCAATATTGCTGCAATATTGCTAAAATATGATTTGTATTGTACGGAATGCATTACTGTATATATTACAGATTTCCGTATAGATTCAAGAATAGGTCTTCTAATTGCAAGTCACGTAAGATAGTGGGTCGCGATGGATATATCGGCACAACGAAATCGAAAGATAGTCAAGGAACAAACGAAAAGGAAGAAAGAGAATCTCGAAGAGAGGATATCGCGAGTTGCAGTCGAGCGAACGCGGGCGTAGCGTGCCACGGACACGACATAGATACCGGCCCTTGGTTACCGCTCATCGGGTAGCATCACGGCAGCTCACAGATTAACGGAGAGAAAGAGCTGGAGCAGTGAGAGAGGGAAGGAGAGAGGCAGAGAGGAGAGAAAGAGAGGAATGATGGAAAATATGTCGGCGAAGACGAGCAGGCGAATACGACGATATATCGGCGGCGATGGAGGGAGACAAAGAGAGGAGAGACAAGACAAAGGAACAACGAAGAACAACTCGGTGGCGTACAAAGGAGGGTAGCAGGAAGAAGGAAAGCGCAGGAGCAACGTGGAGGAGAGGGAGGGGGAGAGAGAGAGAGAAAGAGAGAGAGAGAGAGAGAGAACGCGGCGTCGGTAGGAGGAGAATGACGCGATGGAGGTGGACAGGCTACGGCGGAGGAGAAGGATGCGTGGAGTCGCGGAGGATAGACAGGAGAGAGGATAGGCACACGCGCGAATCGATTAGGTGCGCGTCGGCCATTTTGTTGCCGGTTCGCCGGGCGGCCGCGGAGGCGTGGATCCCGGACGGCGTCGACTCCGCCGCGAGGACGAATCGTTCGTTGTCGCGCGCCGCTCTCTCGCGTTCGATACGAACGCCCGAAGGTGGTAGGGAAAGTTATAGAGATCCACCGCGAGGTCCTGATGAAGGTAGGGGTATTACAGGTCCGTGGTGGGAATGAGCGAGAAATGGTGGAGGTGAGCGAGAGAGAAATAGAGTGGATAGTGGGGATCCGGCAGTGGGATCCGGTTAGGTTGGGTTGGATTCTCCAGCAGACTATAGCGAGACACCTAACTGGCAGTCAGTGGCTCCCGGGGCCCCGCGTCGTCAGTCTCGTTGGAGTAGTTTCGTGTAACCGTGTCGTCTCTCTTCTCCTTTCTCTCTCTCTCTCTCTCTCTCTCTCTCTCTCTCTCTCTCTCCCTGTCTCTTTCACTCCCTCCCTTTCCATCTGTCTTTCTCTTGATGCCTGCCCTTTCTCTTTCTCTTTTCACCTGCCTCCCCTCTTATCCCTTCGTCCCCTTCTTTCCTCTGATCTCTTCACCTTTCTTCAAACGTCTCGTCCAGCTTCTGCTACAATGATTGTTTCTTTCCTTTGCCCTTATCATTGTCTGTTATCGTTCGATTCGTCTCTCCAAAGGTTTCAGTAACGGAATATTCGTCGTTACATTGCGCCACTTTTCACCCGGCATTGCTGATGAATGACGAGAACGTCGTGTCGAAATTCTGGTAAGGGACCACAAGTAGCCGATTTCGGAGCCAATTACTCCGGCAAGAACATCAAATTCGATCGCACAGATCAGGAATGTTGTTCCAGTTCTGTACAGTCATCGATCATGTCTATGATCGCATCTGACAACCTCTCGTCGAACTCGCAAGATAAGTTTCGCGACATTCAGGGAGTGCGTGTCGAAGTGTGGTGATTCGAGAGATCCCGAAGAAGAATCGGAGCAAGAGAATTAAGTGGCAAAACCGCGAAAGAGAGGAGTACCAGGTGAACTGAGGGAACTCTCGACAAAGCAAGAAGTCGTGGAAATATAAAAAATAGCAAGTTACGAATAAACTTTCAACAAACCAAGGAGTCGTGAAGGTGTGGATTGAACTGGACGAGTGACAAACCGGAATAACAGACGGAGCGCCAATTACACTCAGTAGAGATTGATTCAACTGCCTTCGAAATTCGATGCCAATAAATGTTTCGAATATTTTCCATTTCGAAATCAATAATACAGATCATCATTACATTACGTTGATATTGTGTAGTTCGTTGAAAAGTTTATCTGGAGACACGCGTGATTTTCTGTTTCTAAATTACATAAGAACTGAGTTTTAATTCGATGACATAGTAAAGCAGGAAAGTCTGAAACTCTTGTATCTAACGTGTTGTACGTGTCGGGGACGATTCGACCCCCGGTGAGCTTTGGTAGCGCTCTGAAGATAGCAGACACGTCGGGCCGAAGTTTCGCGAGTTTAAAGAGTACGGCCGGTGGTCGGCGTACGAAGGCTTCAAGATTGCTCGAAAACCGTCGCGCGAGGTGCGCAGGAGTGGCAGAGCTGCGGAAATAGGGGCTGCCGGCGTGATGCAGCGGGTGGGCGCAGCCGGGGGGCCCGGGCCCATCGGCTTTCAGGGCCCTCCGAGATCGCTGAAAATTTCACCGGTCAATATACAGGACGAGCCGGCCGATCCCACGCAGAGTGAGTACTTGAGCTGTTCTTTTCTCTACTTTTCACGCAGAGAAATATCATTATGCGAAGAAATATATCCCTCTTATTATGAAATTTACAAGCGAAACTTGTAAATTCGTTAAATTTAAACCTGTAGACCTGACGTGGGTCTATTGAACTGATGCAATTATATCCTTTCGGAGCTGACAGTTTGGATTGAATACCTTCTGCAGTGATTGTTTGAATAACAAAGTTGAGTAAAAATGATCACGTTCAGCAGAAAAAGCAGCTTTGCAAATGTGCAAGTTTTAATATGATTCTTGTTGAATTTCTTCACTGATCTAATTGTATAAAGATATTAAAGAATCTCACAATAATTGCAAAACCGCTTTTTCTGCTGAACGTAATCATTCAATTTTCTCCATGAAGCAAAATTAAGAATACATTATTATATAATTGAATCTACTATTAGTTCTGAAATCTTGTATTGTTGTAGCAAGCGCCATTTTACAAAAATGTCAAACAATTCAATTTTCTTTATGTTACATTTGAATTATTTTTATTAAAAGAAAGAATACATTTAGTATTCATTCTTTTTTATATGAATTACATCATGTTGATTTCTTCAAATTAAATAATGCCTTTTAATCAACATACATGTATTATTTTAGATTAATATCGGATCAATCAATTTACATCGATTTTTTTATTCCAATTTTTGTTATTTCTTATTGTATGTATAATTGATCAGTCTGACTTCCGAGAGGCTTATATGATACTAAAATATATAAAGGAGCTTCGCGACGCGTAGAAACAAATTGCCATTTTATGTTCCTCATAAAGTAAGCTTAATAAAATCTGTACGAAGCAAGATAGACACCACTAGATGTGCACAATAATACACGTTCTAAGTATAAAAATAATGAAATGAGACACGCCGGTCAGATAGGATATTTTCCATTCCTTCGATCTCATCGATCTTTATTCGTGAAACTCGCATACATGTGCAACGAATCGTTTTAATTTTCGTTCAGAAAGTGAATAAATCTCGTCGTGACTGATTCGATTAATTCTACATTGCAAATAATCTTGTTCGATTGAAACCGTTTTTTTTAACGATAATGGTAATTTTTTTCTATCAATTAACTACAATTTGCACAGTTTGCTACATCGTCGCTGTTTAAACGTTTAAAAAACTCGATCGCTTGAAAATTAGCTTAACGTATCACTTCGTTGCGCGCATGTCGTAATTAGATGGCCAAATAATCCTCTCGTATTCATTATTTATCTACGTTAGCGTAAATCAGAGAACAAATGTATTAAATACGAATAATAGATATCCGATATGTATATAATTATTTATACAGTTAAAAATTATTATTTAAAAATATTTTTAAAATATATACTTTTAATATCTTCAAACATTTAATCTTGTTATTTATATATTCTATTTTCAAAAAAATTTATTATTATTTTCTTGATGTTTGTGGTTCTCAAAAGTATGCAATCTTAATAATAAAACGCAACAATTTTATGACTTACCTTCTGTTAAAGGATAATATAGATATTTCTTAGATTTGAAATCGCAGAGAGGATTCAACGATAAATACGAACAACGACGAATACACGTCCCGAATGATTAGATTGAGTATCTCGTGTTTAACGCAAACTGCACGCACAAACTATGCTAAACTATGCTAAACTAACACCATAGCCAAATTATTACACACATGTTGAATATTTTGGTAAGTGTGTAAGAATGCGAAACGACCTCCTTTCACGATGTGACGTCATTACATTTCTGTTGGCATTGAAGTTACCGAGAAGTCGCGTGTCTAGTCATCGCAGGTGAATAAAATCTTTTTGTCGCGTGATAAGACGGTAGTTAAAGTCCGCGTGATTTATGAGTGACGACTTCTCGCATTGCGAATCATAAAAAGATTGCGCTCTCAGCATACGCCAAAAAAAAAAGAAGAAAGAAGGAAAAAAATCACTGATCCACGGATACTTTTTGAGCAATTTATATTATACTTAATGAAGTGCACTTGGTAAATAAATCTTGGGACATTACCAAAGACGCATATCGCCTTCGTATTTTCCGACGTAATATTGACCATAAATCAAGGATGATGGTCACAAGCAGAACAGGCAAGAGAAGCATAACGGCCGTGAAACCTGTTAATGTGCTTGTAGAAATGCGCGATCGATCAATCGTTAATTATCTTGCCGCTTAAAAGCGATCATAGAAATGCCAAAACATGTCTAAGAGAACTTTGATATAATTTCCATCATTATACGTTATCGACGCTGTTCATCATGTCGAAATACTCTTCGTTAATGTGGCCAAAAATCTTCATCAACATGCTGTATGCTAATGTTACGTCGCATGCATAATGATAATGTTAATCCAAGATGCAAATTACCGCAGCAAGTCGCGGCACCCATTCAGCAATGAACACGAAATTCTTTATCATTTAACATATTTCTTTGTTACATTATCGGAAAAGCTTCTTCTAAATATCCGATGACAAACGTCGTAATTTTAAATTTCAAAATAATAGAATTAAAAACAATTATTGTCAAATTCTGGCATTCAGAGGAAAGTCATCACATTACAACGATTACATTCAAGTTATACTTTTTGTATTCAAACTTCATTATTATATCATTTATTGAGAGAAAAGTATTTAGTATTCGTGATTTTAATTACATGGAAAAGTAATAATGGTTAAGGACTCCATTTTTGTAGTTATTATTGTTGTAAGAGTCATATATAATAACAATTATATTCATAATTCTGTATAAAAATAATATACGGTTGTCCCCAAAAGCGACCATAAAATTATAGCCGTTTAACATTACAGCAGTAATAACTGTAAAACTGAAGCTCCTAACTATAATTATCTTACCATGTAGTTGTAGTCACAAATACCAAACACTTTAATTTCTCTCTGTAAGATAGCATTTCCTCAAGCGTGCAAACATTATATACGTTAAATAGAATTCAAGTTCGTAGTAATAATCAACTATATAATTTTATCAAATATCAATACCGAACAAATATAAGTTATTAAATTTAATAACTATAACAACTTATTAATTTGATATTTAACTTATATTTGCTCGATAATGACTTTTGATTAAATTATAGTTCATGATTATATACGTTGTTTCCAGCATCTCGTGCTATATTTAGAAATTAAACTAATATAAGAATGATAAAAAATTACAAAAAAAAGGAATTGCAAATAAAAAGAAATGAATGAAGATATGTAACATCAATAAATATATGGAAGAGATAGAAAAAAAGAAGAAAGCAAAATTTTTATTTCGCCAATAAATCAATGATTTCGATCTTGGATATAAAATTTATAATACTTACCACTAAATTCGGAATGGGAATATGTTTGATATTATGTTATATAACCCGGGGAACTTACCGTTGTACGATATAAAGTGAATGATGCCGCTCACGCAGGAGTCGGCGAGCCTTTTCCATGTGCAACCGTGTGCTCGTGTGCTCATTTATTATTAACGCGAGTTATCGCATTTTCATAATCGGATACATGGAATATTCAACGGCGCGAAACGATTCGCCGATGATTTTCTGTAATTAAATGTTACAGTATTGCGTTTAACACGTGTTTTTCGCGCGCGCGCGCGCGAGCGTGCGATCCGACGAAGTCGCAATTATCGCGGGAGCAACATTAATATCAGCTGTATTTATCACTTATAATTATTGCGGCGCTATATTATTCGCGAGAAAGAATGGTGGAGTGCATGCACGATCGCACGAGCGCGTCAATGATACGATCGCGGTCTTTAATTTATGCTCGCGATTAATTCGATAATGTGTTCAATGAGACGGATGAATAATTAAGTCGATGACCGCGATGTAGGCACCGTCGAGAACAAAGAATAATTAAATTAACGGAATTGTGAGATCGTAGTAATGCGAGCTCGCAGTGTAATCTCGATACGAGACCAATGTTCGATGCAACATGAAAAATCGATGTGAAAAGAGATCTGTGTTATTTCATCTCGATGCCTTTTTCAATGAATAGACATAGTTGGTTAATCACTTGATGCTTGAAAAAACTTCGGCAAACAAAAGTCTCTGGCTAAGTTTAATGGATATTTCAACTCGTCTCAATGAATTTTTGCAACACAGTAATGAATAAGTTAGGTAATTAGATTTTGATATTGTGTGAAGATTATTCAACTTTATACTCTAAATGTGAGTTTAATTATTGGTTAACAAGGTGATTATAAATGAAATTTCAAAATTTTAGTAATTAATCGAAGAAATACAGTCACTGTAACTGAAACTTTCGTGAATTTGCTAGATTCTGTTGGAAGATTTAAATTTTTTGTTTCGAAGATCTAAGTTTTTTACTAACAAACTCAAAAATATTTTAAAAAAAGATTTAAATTTGTGAGTTAGTATACAATTTCGTAAATTTTAAGAATTTTTCCACTTGATTATACATAATACATTCTTCAATTTAGTTACACAATCGAAAGTAGATTCAGCCAGTTTTATAATTCGAGATTAGACCAATGAAAATATAAATCAATTAAAACAAATAATCCTATTTTCGGGCAAAGCGGATCTTAATGCTTAATAATACTAATATACAAATTTTTGCAAATACAATTGAAAAAAAAATGTATTTATGAAAATTTGTATATTAATATTATATTAAGCACTAAGATCCGCTTAGATCGAAAATAGGATTACTTCTCTTAATCAGCCAATTTTTCTACAAGTATTCCATTTCCAACATTTTGATAATCGCTTCCGATAATCAAAACGCGTAAGAGAGTAATTACATCAAAGTCTTTTTCGAAGAACGAAAAATATTTTCTACTTCATGCGAATAATTTACTGTCACAAACAATTTACTTTCTAAACATAAATGAACAAACAAATGTTTTTTCTTGTAAACGTCATGCCATATAATAAATGTAATAAATAAAGTAGATAATATATAATGAACATAATAAAACATCGAGAAAACCGAGAAAAA